TGTAATTTGTTAGAAATTGATCGTCTCCGGTGATTGCAGATTGATCTATATAATATGAAGAATGTTATCTATAGGCATGCAGATGTACAGGACATAATAACGTTACTTTTTCAGGTCCCAAAAACACCCAAGTTAATGAAAATTTAAATGAAATATTAATGAATTATTTCATGAGAAATCTATTATGCAAGACCCTCAAAATGCTACTTTGTCACTTTTCTCACAAACCTCTGCCCCCGGACCACCCAATTTCAAAAAGTTTACTTTTAAAACCTATTATTTCACTAAAATCGTTCCTAATTATCCCGAAATGCTATAGTATGCATTACATTTTTTTGCCCGCTCTTCTACCCGTTGATTTTTAATAATGTGCTGAAATTATCAGCTCCAGTGATTGCAGATTGATCCATGTCATCTGTAGGCCTACAGATGTAAAGAACATGAAAAATTACAATTTCACAGTGGTGGATTCAAGGGAGAAGAACCCCCTAAAATTATAAAAGAAAATGGAGAAAAGAGAAAAATCATAATTTGTCTGAGAGTCCCCTTTCAGGGCATTTTGAGGTGCCATAATCATACATTTTCTTACCTCAGCCCCAGTCATGGTGGGGCTGAGGTAGTATTGACCTTCTGTCTCAAGTTCCTCCCTTCACCCCCACCCTCTATTTCTCCTGCTTTTACTGTAGGTCCCTAGACAATACTCAAATGAATGAAAAGGATATTACAAATTATGGATTTTAGAAATCCATTAAAAAAGGCCCTCAAAATGCTAATTTTTCAGAGCTTCCAGAAGATTCGCCCCACCCTCACGGGGACCCCTAGGCAGTCGCCCATCGTAAGGTCCACTTCGGTTGCAAAACGCACCTCCCCATCGATCCTGCCTACGGCCCTGCCCTATGCTAGGCATTATAGGCTAGGCTTATGTGGGCTGGGATTTGCAACAAGGTCTTGGACTAGGCCTCTATAGTAGGAGGCCTGGTCCTAGTCTAGGCCTATAATATAGTACAGCGCCAGGGCCCCAGGCGCGGGCGGCCCCGACATTGTATTTTTAAAAAATATAATATAAACTATAATACCGTAGTTTCATTCAATGGGGCCCTGACAGTTTTAAACAATACAAGCTGAAATGCTTCTGATTTTGTGATCAATCTGCTTTGCAGATTGATCACACAGTTAATTTTTCAATCTCCAGCAAATTTTAAATAGCATCCTCCTTTTGGGAATGTAAGGAAATAGATACTGTAGTGCTTTCCTTTGTTGGATCGATTGTAACTCTTGATTGTAGCAACCCCAAAACGAATGGCACTTCAGAAATACAGTACCGTATAACAATTATTCTCTCAAACTGTATATCCTCGTGTTGTTTGTGTTTTAAGTTAACTTTATTTATTTTTTTTTAAGCGTACAGGTTTGGAATATTTTAAAATCCTTAAGTTAAATTATTTAAAGTTTTCTTTCAATGAAAAATAAATGCGATCGTTAATATCGATCTTGGTACAATGTAAACCTGTAATCATAATCAGAATTTTACTACCGTATATTATAGGCCTAGACTAGGACTAGGCCTCCTACTATAGTATAGGGCTCGTGATCGCGGTACCCTGACCATTAAAAATTAGCAGACGCACTGGGAAGCGTTGTTCACGGCATTGGACTGCAGCGAAAAATTATTCCCCCATCATTAATGGAACAGGCCCATGTCACGCTTGGCTGACTAGTTTTGATTTACATTTTGTGTGTCTGCCATAAGCAGCAAAAGTCCATGTTCTAGTGTTGTTGTAAAATGCATTTCAAACCAGGCTGGTTTTTGATTTACGTTTTGGAATAGAATCTGGAGAGGGCGTTTGATCAAGTTAGACCTACGTTTTGAATTTGAATTACATTTTAAAGAAATTAGAACTACATTTTGGAAAATTTGAACTACGTTTTCAAAAATTAGAACTTCATTTTGGGAAACTAGATCTACATTTTGAAAAATTTATGCCTACGTTTTGATAAATTAGACATTGAATTTTGCAATTACATTTTGATTTTAACATGGACTTTTGCTGCGTATGGCACCCCATATGTATGGCCCCATGTGCATGTTGCGAGGAATGCAGAATTTTTTTTTTTTTTTTAATTCCTATCTGTAGGTGCACTGCCAAATTTACTATACAAAGACCCATACAAATGTTCAGACTCTTTATGGTGGATTATTTGCGATAGAAAAATCCAAGTTTAACATTCTTAGAAACATTTCTATTTAATTTTATTATTTTTATTTCAGGCCCTCAGCCAAGTGCAGTCACTGTCTTTAAGGTGGGTATCGCCTGAGCAGCCAAGATACCTAAGGAACCTTCAATGGCACTCTTAAGACATTTGTACTGGTGATATTGACAGTAAAGGTTCTGCATGGTGTGCATGGTAAGTAGTAAAAAACAATTAAGAAGCTTGTGAACCAGTTATTTTATATTTGTTTTATGTATCTGAAATTCTAGAGCAAATAAACTAAACTATATTTCAAAAGTATACAGATATACAAATACAGATAGTAATGACATGAAATTTTGTTATTATCTAGAATCCTCCAGAAAACATCAGACCTGCCAACTCACCCGATCCTGTTGGGTGTCACCCGATATCTAAACAAATCTCCAGTTCTCCCGATCGAATGTAATTTTCACCCGATTTTACAGGCCACCTCCTCTCCCCAAAAATAATGTATTCGCGGTGCAATAAACAAAAGCCATTTTCAATTCGAATGTAGTTACCAACGGCCAATGATTTGTAGTGAAGTGACTTTTTTGGTGTCTTGCATCATATTTTGGTTATTTCTGGAAACCTCCAGATTTTTTGGTAAATATCCAGATTTTTTTAAGATTCTTAAAAAAATCTCCAGATTTTCATGACCCAAGGTTTGGCAGTTCTGAAAAATACAGTGAAATAGTTTAATAGGTCATCCACTAATCCATCCATCTATTCATTAGTCTCTCATACATAGAATCTTTGTTCTGTTATTATCAATGAAGTCTAGAGGC